ATTGCTCTTGGGTACGACCTTGTAAGCAAGATCGATCCTGATGATACTCGTACTCGCTAATTCTATGCGAATCTCACCAACACTTATGTGTACAATAAGCCTGTCTCTATCAACAGCAATGCTGATATTCGAAAGAAGGTGATTTCGGAAACTCGGTCTATGGAGTTGGCTGATAGCTGAACCACCCCATTTTCTGAATATAAGCTTCAGGCGCTCACCGCATTCAAAGTTTTCGTTTATAACCGCGACCATGCTCTTGAAGATAACGAAGCTGTTATTCCGAAGGTCATTCGCGAAAACAAGAATGTAATTATCTTTCCTAAGACTAACAACAAGTGCGTATTCCACCTTCTGGCACACGTTTGAATTTGGTCACTTATTGTGTGTTAATCATGTTGATTTGTGAAGTTGCTTGCAAATTTGAAAATGAAGATGAGATCAACACTTGAAAGTGTGCGAATGTTCTCGACGATAATTTTTAATGAACTACGTGTTGTGAACATATTGTTGATTATTACTTTTATATATAAAGACGAACGCTGTTGAAATATATTGATTTTCTTTTAGATTATGATGTTTTTTTTGCTTAAGGACTTTTTTATCTGGTTCAGAAAATCTGTCAATCAATTGAATGTGCTAGTTCCCTTTTATTTTTCCAAACTGTGCTTGAACATGTTTTGCGAGATGCAAACTGAATCACCCATTATCAAAACGTATTACCAAAAAAGATACATTTCTGATTATTTGAGAACACAAAATTGTAACTTGACCTCATCTTCATTTTCAATTACAACATCGCAAAGTAAGGTTATTTACACACATAACAAGCGACCAAGTTCAAACTCCACGTGGGATCTCATTCAACCGCACTTTTGGTACCCAATGTCATCGCTAGAGCAATCTATGATATCGGTAATGCCTCTTCAACAAATATACTGCATACAAATGCTCATTGTAAAGCACGGCCGTACTAATTCTGTAATTTCTATCAGATATAAACTCTAAAACCACGACATGCAGTGGTTCGTTTGATATACTTATCTGAACGACGGGAGGCGACATTTTTATCTGTCACATTCTAAGACCGCAACTCATTGCCATTTTTCTTGCAAGCTCTGCTAAAACCACTTAGCAAAATTGTTGTAGTACCTTAAGATCCTGCATCAAAACTTCAGAATTGCATTTGCTGTCTAGCAGCGCATACAGCAACACGTCCATCGTTGACAACAAGGGTCGGGAAGTGACGTTGCCACGAAGACTCAACGGGTCGTCTGAAAGCGGTAAATGAGCGTCAAATTGAAGGCAATAAGCTGCGTACGACGTGGAGCCGTATGGGTTCTAATGACGATGGCAAGCATGAGGCGATTTGTTCAAGCGGCACTCTCGAGGTGTTTGAACAGCTGTGGCATGAGACCTCCTTTAATATGGCACAAGAGGAAATTTTTACTCAACAGCAATTGGTGCAAGATTCCCAAAATGATAAGTCCAAGTTGAAGGCCGAAGAAAAGGCAAACCCGATGGAAGTATAATGTTCTTGAGCGATTTCTCACTCTCGTACATGTGCTGTATGTCTCGTATGGTGCAGCATGCGAACGCGATAGAGCAGCAAAGACACCTCGAATTTATGCGTCAAGTTGATGATGTTCCTTCTATTATCAACGTATTTTATCACTCCACTAGAAATTTCATGAAAGAGCCTGATCGCAATCTCATTCTGCATGATTTGTTTAACGCATTGTTTATTTTTACTGACCTCGTTATGATCACAAATTGTGCGCATCTTACTGGATGTATCGTACATTTCGGGACTCCAGTCGATTCCTGAAATATATCGTTTGACCGACAAAGGGATTCCTCCTGTCAACTCGTGAAACTTTCAAAGACGGAAATTTGTCACGGCTATGAAATCAGGTTGGACTCCAGATTCCTGTTTTGGTGGGCAATTTGCGCTCGACCCATTAGCTTAGTGTTGCCATTTTTGAAGATGTAGCTATGACGTGAATTGGTGGCACAGTGGTGTGGCTACACCGTAACAAGAAGCCACCACGTGGCAGGATTGCCAGTAGTACTGCATATTGATTAGGTTTTACTATATTAATTAGGTATTACTATATTAATTAAGAAAACCTAGGGTTTTAGATTTTGGCGGCTCTGTCGCAACTAAACATTTGGATACAGTTCCAATTCTGAACGGAACAGTTTGTTTACCTTGACTAAGAATTAAGTACTCTTGGAGGCAGCGAATCGCGATCCGCTGCACTCGTACTAATTCCTGGAAAGAACGTAAGGTCGGTGACCTTAGCTTAGCTCCCTCTAAGCAAAAAGCTACGGCAGCCTCGTTGCAACAGCAGCCGAAGTCGCAACATCCACGCGCGGATCAGACAGGATTAAAGCGAATCCTTGAAACGATAGCAGCTGAGACTTGTCGAGTAGCAGTCATGCATCAAATCCAGCAGAGTAATACCGCACAATATCAACTGAACAGAACAAACCACTTAGAAAGTGAGATAAGCAACATTTGTAAAGTAGAGCCATAACCAGTCGGGATGTAAATGCCGTGCTGTCGCGCTCCTCGAAAAAGGTTTGAAAGGGATTCAATCAGAACTTGAAATGGCAGCTAGGGGATAGGATTCCTTTATATCACGTCAAGCGAGGAGACAAGGCAACCTGGAGCGAATCGCTTTTTGACAGCTTTGCTTCAGCATCAGCAAAATGAAGACGAACGCAATCGCGGAACAAAGGACCTCAACCAACGCGCTCCAACCCCAAAACAACTACGTCAAGAAACGAGCGCGGATCCCTCCTCGCCACGTTGTTGGAGTAAACTTTCGATGTTTTGCAAGAAAGGCGCCTGATGATGAAGCCTTCCTCAAACTGAGCCTTTTTATTAAGGTAGATAGATACCCATGGCGCGGCGTAAACAGCTGCAATACCCGATGATTGAACGTTGCTAGTGCGGTAGACAGTGCATGGAGTATAATCCGCGCTCCCAGAGGGGAACCCACTCGGAGTATATATTGCCATGCAAGGAATGTCAATGTCTTTCATGATCAGTTGATAGAATTATTAACTAGGTCACGAGCACTAAACAGAGTAAATTCGACTATGCCGTTCTGAATCAAGCTGTTTAAGCTCAATTTATCTTGATTAAAGCACGCAAATTTTAGCACTAGCCGTTAGTTTTTCTAACGCAGAATTTCGGTGTCGAGACGAATATCCACTCTCTTATATCTGCTTCGTAAAGAGTTGGTTTTGCATCGTGACAACGTTCCGTTGTTTGGGCCACTGGCAAGTTAGACAATATTTGGCTCAAAGAATCAAATCGATTTTGATCTTGAGACTTATGTAAAGGGGATGTTGTCAACGCTTCGTGAATACACTATTCAAAAACTAATAAGATTAATCCAAAAAGTTTGTTGATCCCCTTTTACGCTTCAAATTATTTGGTGTACTCAATCATTGAGTTATTCATGACGGACAGTGAGCTCATATCCTCTTCAATACGAATCATTCGGTGACTTCATCGTCCTACGAATCTTTGTAAACAAACCCTTGGGATAGCTCTCCGAGCTTGACGACAGCTTCCCTCCGAATGATCGGAATAGACTTGCGCACATATGACTACTTTTGAGTTAATGACTCTTTTTGCCACCAGTACGATTAGTATCGCTGTACCGGACGGCGCGCGCGTCACAAGAAAGCGCTGACTCATTCCTACCGCTCATTCGTGAGAAAAAATATTTTCAATAACTTTAGGGCCTGGTACTTGTGTTTGCAGCAACACATCCGTTCGCCTTCATCGTTTTTCGTTCGAGAGATTGCATTACTTAGTCGCTCTGACTCGTATTTACGGGATCACACCCGACAAATAATCACCATCAAACGATCCACCAGAAATATTCTCTTGAAACCCATTACAAAACTTTGCTGATTCTTGTCTAAGCAGGTACACATTTGAAGACATTAATACACGATCGCAACTTTCTGCCTCATCAGAAGACATCTGCTCACTGTCGCTTCTTCCTTCCAAACATCATTCGACCATCGTTGGTGGTAAATGCGGACAAAACCATCTCCTGTGTCGAAGATTTTGCAGCTTCATGTCTAGCGGATGTGGGTTGATAGCTCACCACAGCACTGTTGGGATAACTAGGTCGAACCTGATGTTTTCGAGTTTCAATCGATACGTAGCTCCTGCTATTCAGGCTCTGAGCTCATAAACCTTCTGAATACCCACTTCGCTATCTCAAAGAGCATGGTCGCGTTGGTAGACGAACATTTTGAAAACAGTAATCGCCTGAAGCGTATATTCAGAGCTGGGGATAGTTCAACTTATCAACGACTCCATAGACCGAGTTTCCGAAATCACCTTCTTTCGTATATCAGCGTTGCTGTTGATAGAGACAGGCTTATTGTACACATAAGTGTTGTGAGATTCGCATAGAATC